TTTACCTCACAGGGTGTCTGTGGTGGGGAGGGGAAGGGAAAGGAGACTAAGCCACTCTGAGACTCCTTCAGATAGTGAAGGGCAGGGTAGAAATCCAATCTCTTCCTCCTCCTCTTCATCTTCTCTCTCACACCCTTCTTTCCAAGTGTATTTCTTAAAAAATTACTCCTCTTGTTTCCCGCTCTGGAGCTCCGTCTCTGGGTATGTCTGTGGCTCTTCTTCCCACGGCGGCCATTTTGTGGCTGCACCCAGCACTGTGTGTCCGAATTCCAATACTGCCGCAGACTCAGAATGTTTGGAGGACCTCTGTTGGTTGGGGGACCTCTGTTGTAAGACACTGATCTTCCTCTCCTTCCTTCCGTAGGTCATGGGAAAACCGGCCACGGGCTGCCGGACCACAATCCGGACGTGGTGCTGGAGATGGCGGAGAGCGACCTGGGGCCCTTAGTCTCGGGCGACCTCAACCCCCTGAACGCCTATGTCTCCGGGAAACTGCGGGCACACGGAGATCTCTCCAAGGCCCTGAAGTTGGAAGTGCTCTTCAGGGCGATGAAATAGGGCCCCCGAATGACTCTGGGCCTCGACAACATCCGGGCCAATTTCTTCAGGACGATCTTTGCGGAGAGGCGTCTCCCCCACGTGTGTGGCTCTTTACCACATTTTGGCAAACTAGCTTAACGGGCGATAGGTTGCCTTGATCCGCCGACCCCCATTGCTGCGTCTGCAGGCTTGGAGCTCCTCGGCTTTGAAGGCGGAACGCCGCAAAGGCCTGAGGTCCCCCCGGAGCCGTTCCTCGTGCCGAAAGACCGCAGCACAGATCTGCCCTTGAGGGTCACTTGCCAGGACCGATGGAGGTCTCCAGGAGGCCAGATGGAAATAGGGGAACGATTGGGGGCGAGATGAGTGGGCGGGCGACGCCACACACCCACTTAAGCCATCGTTGAGGACGGCCCACAACGGAATTCTGCAGAAAAGCGGCAAGATTTCAGCATTTGAAAACCCTTCTTGGGTTGTTTTTTTTTAATCTCAAAGCTTCCTTTTGAGATTTGTCTTGGGTGCCTATGTTTTTTTTGTTCTTTTTTAAAAAATATATCCTGTATCTTAATTCTTGCTGTTGAACGTTAAGGCAATAAACCACCTTTATTTATTATTTACGTCAGCTTTGTCCCCATTACGGCGCCCGTCATTCCCCTCTCCTCCATTTTATCCTCACAACAACCCTACACGGTCGGGTTCTCTCAGAGCTGTTCTCTCAGGAGCAGTCCTCGGGAGAGCTCTCTCAGCCCCGCCTACCTCACAGGGTGTCTGTTGTAGGGAGGGGGAGGGAAAGGAGATTGTGAGCCGCTCTGAGACACCTTGGGTAGTGAAGGGCGGGGTATAAATCCAATCTCT